ATTTGCATTGTCGTAGGTAGTATGACAACACACACACACACCTCATGCAGGTCATTTGCAATGCCATAGGTACATGACACAAACACACACACACCTCATGCAGGTCATTTGTAATGCCAGAAGTACATGACACACACACACACACCTCATGTAGGTCATTTGCAATGCCATAGGTACAAGACACACACACACACACACCTCATGTAGGTCATCTGCAATGCCATAGGTACATGACACACACACACACACACCTCATGTAGTTCATTTGCAATGCCATAGGTACATGACACACATACACACTCACCTCATGTAGGTCATTTGCAATGTCGTAGGTGTCGCTGTGCAGTCGTGGCGATGAGGTGCCCTCAGTTATGGGCAGTTTGTAGCCCACCATTTCACCCACAATCTCGTCCTGTTATGGTACGATTATCGATTGTGGGAACATCCAGAGATCAGAATTAAAGCGACGAGAAAAAGGTTCATATTCGTGAATTACTTCTACTGCACACACACATGCGATTGCATTGCCCTGTATCCCATAATTGGCACGGATATTATACGATGGTACAGTCAGTATCTGAGCTCTACTATAATCTTGGAGATTTTAGGACGACACCCATGTAATAGATGAACATGCTTGGTGTGAATATGCCACGCACAGTCATAGAGATTGACGAGATGAAAACGTGACATACAGGCTGTTGAGCTGCCACCTGGATAAAGCTTCCACAGCTGAGTGATCAACAGACAACACTTCCAAAGCAGTGTAGTAGACAGGCAACACTTTCACAGCTGAGTCATCAAAACACTTTAAAACAGACAACACTTTCACAGCTGAGTCATCAAAACGCTTCAAAACAAACAACACTTTCACAGCTGAGTAATAGATCGCACACTTTGGTACAAAACTAACACCAGCGCAGAAGGCGCCCCCCATAGACCCCCACCCAACCGACTCACCTCACCCTCGGCAGAGCTGTGCACAATCTGTCCCACGAGTGCACTGTGTGTGGCCTGGCTCTGCGTGTCTCGCTCAGCAACAAAGCGGAAGCTGTACTCACTGCTGAAGCGGTCGGGGGCTGTGTGTTCGCAATTGCCATGGGCGTCCATGCCCTCAGGGCGTCTCCGTTGTGCGTGCAGCTGCCGTCTGCGTATCTGTTGTTGTGTCCTGTTGCGCAGGTGTTGTGGCTGCTGTGAGCTTTCCTGCTGATGCGCTTGCTGTGGTTGTTGCTGTGGCTGTTGTATTTGCTGTTGTGACCGTTCCTGTGCAGTGTGTGAGCTTTGTTGATGTGGCTCACTCTGTTGTAGTTGCTGTGGTTGTCCTGTCGAGTTGTCTACAACACTCTCTGCCCCATCATCACCATTTTCCATCCGATTTTTGGTCACATTGCTCTGCAGTGCTTCCAGCAAGTTATCGTCCACAGTCACAGCATCGCCAGTTGGTTGCTTGGCAGCAGAGGAGCCCGTTGGTTGCGTGGCAACAGATGAGCTCGTTGGCGATAGTTCAGGCTTGTGTCTATCAGCTATCTCAGCACCACTCTCTCCATCCAAACCGTTCATGGGGTCATTCGGTATACGGTTGCGTCCCGAGTTATCAGCAACGGACCTGCCAGTGGTTGCAACAGCGTAAGGTTTAATGTATATATATAGTACAAAGAGTACAATAAACAGATAGCATCTTACATACATATACAACACATAGTTTTGTCCTATTCATAGACTTATCTCCTTGCGGTTCGTCTGCCTTCGCAATGATGCATACATTTCGTACAAGGTGCAACATTTAGTGTAGATGAGGCACAACCCCTCACAACACATCGGTTGCATCGAAAACAAGAGAATGTCAATCGAGATTGAATCGAGTGTAGCTCACATACACACAATCGCAAAGGCCAGACTCTAGTCACCTCAGTAGACAAATTAATCATCAGAACTGAAAATGACGGGTTAGCGGACTCATGCTTGATAGGATCAAACAACCCAGACACAGGCCCCTTGGTGAAATAACCCAGACACAGGCCCCTTGGTGCTCAAGCACCATACAAATTAGGTGTATGCACACTTATACAACATCAAAACAAACATATCGTGCCAATAAACATTGGCCATTGGTTGCTCTACTACTCCTAATACCATATGTAGTTGGTCTAAAACTCTTTCTGCCGCAGGTATAAGACTATAGGAATATGCGCCACCGCAGCAGACGAGTGGCAGAAACAAACACATCCAGCCGCTAAGGAAACATAACTCGAGCGCACCCCATGTGATGCTATGCCCAGTCTATTCACTACTGTCACACGGTCGAGCAACACCTGGTAGGCCCTCATTTGAAATGCATCTTGGCTCAGACAGAGTGCATCACGTGGGGGTGCCAAAGTCTTCGCATGCCGAAACGATGACTTCTTAAGCAAACACGTGCTCACAGGTCATGACAACGGGCGCATTCTACATACCCTGCGGGGTATGCGTGCACACATGTATACATACCCATCTTCCGAGGTTGTGGCTACATCGTCCGTAACTGCTAGCTTTAAGCGAGATCGTGCAGGGGCATCCGCTGCGCAAGTTTGTGGCGCTGCTCGTTTAAATGTGTGTGTTGCTGTGATGTCTGATGGCTGTTTCTGTGACTGGTTAGGTGTGTTGGTGATGTTGTCTTCTTGGGGCATACTCTGACTATTGGCATTGTTCTGTACATCTTCCCGCGCGTGTGTATCAGCGTATGTGCTTGCTTGTTCATCTGTATGTGTGCTTGCCTGTGCATCTATATGTGTACTTATATGTGTATCCCTGTCGCCGTTCTGCTGTGCGGGTTGGCAAGCCGAGGTATCGTCCGGAATGAAAGGCTCAGACAGACATCGCGGGGGTGGCAATGGGTCGTATTCCATCTGCGTGGCTGGGTTTGTCTGCATGTGTCCGTTGTCTATGAGTGTGTCGGCTCGTTCTGCCTTCACCTGTGTGTGCTGGTCATGTGCTTCAGCTGTGTCTGTTGTGTTCACCTGTGTGTGCTGGCCATGTGCTGCAGCTGTGTGCGCACTCACTGTGTGATCCACTTGATGCCCATGACTGGCCGAGGGAGTGGTCTCCGTGCGATTGCATTGGTGAGAGGAGGAGAGGGCCGGATCAGAGTCACCCATATATGGTGGCACAGCATTTGGCGGGCCATTTGCCCTGTTTTCGAGCGAGGTGGTTCCATTCCTCTGTGCAGGTGTTTGTGTTGTTTGTGGTTTTTGTGCTGTCTCTGGTGTCTCTGGTGTTTGTACTGTCTGTGCTGCTTGTACTGTGTGTGGTGTTGGTGGTGTTGGATGCGCTTTGCTCATCTCCTGTGCCCTGACTCCGTTCGTCTCTGTTCCGCTGTGTATCTGTTCATTACTTTGCCTCCTGCCTCCGTCCGTATCTACACGGGCGGCCTGAGGCGCACAATCCACCCACCCACTAAGCGTACTCTCCTTCATACTCTGCACCCAGTCTTCCACACTGCCATTCACTGTATGCGTGCTGTTGGTGCGCATGGCCTGCTCACTCGCCTCACCCCTGCGTGGGTGTGCATGCTTGAGCAGTTCCCCACTTATCACCTGCGGTCTCTGTGCCTCTTGCCCTGCCCCATTTACAACCGTTGCTGCCTGGGGTGCGGCTCCCTTTGCAGCCGCTGGTTTGCTGAGCAACACCTCAGCGGGCCTTGCGTGGCCCAGCAATTGACTGCCGCTGGTGCTTGCGGGTGCACGTGTTTCGCACGTCGCCTGAGCTTTGCTGCCCACGTGGTCACTACCACACCCTGGTCCCCGCAGTTGTGCGGTGGGGCTGTTACCAACCGTTGCCACGTGCACTTCTACCGGTGGACAGCTGTCGTCGTTCTCGGGGTCATCACGTGCGTGACTGGCGTTGTGTGTGGCAGAGCCATCCTCCATAGTGAGATCCATTGCAGCGGTGGTCTCTGCGTTCTCGCGTGTCAGATGCCGCTGTGTGGCACTGCTCCCGTTGTGTACCATATGCCTCTGTGTGGCACTGCTCCCGTTGTGTATCAGATGCCTCTGTGTGGCACTGCTACCGTTGCTAGTATTGCAGTCCATAGACCTCGTACTGCCGAGTGGAGTGTCCACCTGCTCGTGCGAAGGCTCTTGGTCCATCGCTCCGTGTGTGTTAACTGTCATATGCTGTTCGTGATTGGTAGTAACTGTCATATACTGTTCGTGATTGGTAGTAACTGTCATATGCTGTTCATGATTGGTACACGTATTGCATACCGAGTTCTCCGCAATCTTTGCCAGGCTCGAAGCAGTAGCACAGTGAGTCTTTTGTGACTGTGTTGGAATGGTAGGTATATGTGTCTGCGAGAGAGCAATTGAATCTGAATGCTTGTGTGGATGTACACGTGTAGTTTGGTTTTCATGGGTGTGTGACTGTTTGTGCGCATGAGTATGTGGATGTTTATGTCCGTGTGCATGTGAATGCGAATGCTTGTGTTTATGTAACGCATGGTGTGCATGTGCGTGTAGCGAGTGTGCATGATTCTTCGTCGCCTTGACGGGTTCAGATATGCTTTCAGGTGTCTGTTCAGGTGTGGTGCTATTTGTAACTCCAGCGGTGTGCGTGAAAATATCCATCGGCGTTAATATACTTGTATGAGCCTGTTTGTGCACAGACACACTAGCGATCAAGCCGTTCGTGACCATGCTTGACAGCTGGTGTACAGGCTCCTCAACTCTCTGCCCCACTATACCCAGAGATGACCCATTCTGTGCTGCTACAGCTGCCTTAGGTGCTCCCATTCCATTTGCCCCCACATGATGGGTTGCCAGCGATTTCTCAGCGTCCAAAGCGTGTTCACTGAGGTCAGTGAGCGATTCACTGGGGTTGCTGCTGGGCCTGGCCAAAGTATCGGATCTGGATTCGATGATGTTCAGGAATTTAGTGCGTTAAAATTAATATTTCGGTTCATAAACCAAATCGACATCAGGTGCAGGTAGCTAAAGATGGATACTACCTTGGCATCATTGGGAAATAGGTCACATTGAACATATAGATTCCACATACATCTGAATTGGCTGGTGGGGAGAAGCAGGATTGACCTCCATCATGGGGCTGCTAAGACAATTGGGACTGCTCTGGCCATGGTCATCCCGTTTAGACTCAGGCATTGACGAACTCGTCGCTGGTGCATCGCCCTGGGCTGTATCACTACTGGAATCATGACTCATTGCGGCTTACGTTGGCGGGTTGTTGGTAGGTAGCTGATCATTTTAGGGTTTTTACTAAAACCCTAAAACCTTAAACCCTAGCTGATGGGTCTAATGTGAGCAGGAACAACAACAAAAGGTAGTTAGCTCAAGAAGTCCTTCGCAGTTCGATCAGGATTTTGACCTATATTCGACTGCAGATTCCAGCAACTGCCTTGATAGTGGCAACAAATGCAACACCGCCGATTGCAGGTTAGGTTATACGCATCCAATGTCTCTCAATTCAAACCTGATCGACGCATATGAGTCATGATATTGTGTTCTCTATGGGGGTAGTAAATGAACAATGATTCATCAGATTCATTCCATATCGATCGCAAAACGCAACACGCGACAAATCATTAATAAAAATAAAAATATGCGGCTCAAATCTTAAATACAGTTCATTTATGTTGTATGACATAAAACATACGACTCATATGATACAAGGTACACGACACATGTCTTATTTGTCTATGGTTCGACAGCCTTACGTGACATACAAGATGTGAGAAATAATATATAAGTACTGGATAGTTATAATGCGAGCATAATTGGCGTGATTTCTATGCCGGAGAAATTA